AAAAAAAAAAAAGGTAACTCTCCTGCTCTTGTGCAGCGGGGGCTCCATGGCCAGGTCATTTTGCGCAGGGAGCGGCGGCTGTGGCGTGTCCTCCACCTGGCACCGGGCCTGGCATTAAACACGTCTTGATCAGCGGGGGATGCCTGCGAGGGAGGGAGCCATTGTTTGCTGAGCCGGGCGCTGCCACTGGGTCGCTTACGGTGGAGAGGGAGCCCGCCCTGCAGGGAAGGGACCCGGCCGCCCGCTGAACGCAGGGGAGCGGAGCTGCCGGAGAAGCTGCCAGCCACCGAGCCGGCGCCTCGGGGAAACTGAAATGTGTTTCCTCCGAGGGGAGAGGGGCGGCCCCCTGCCGCCTCGCCCCGGTGGAGGTGCAGCTGCCGCTGGTTAGTATGACTGCTGTGCGCGCTGGGCTGGAAGAGCCGCTCCGCCTCCCCTCCTGGCCCTGTGCCTGGCCTTTCCTGCGTGTTGTGCTCTCACGTTGTTGTTGTTGTTTTCTTCCCTCGCCCGGCCTTTGCTTCCTCCCCTCTGCGTTTCCACGAAGCTGGGCCCCAGGATTGCTGCAGCCCGAGGCAGGCCTGGGCCCGCCCTGCCTTCCCCTGGCCGCCTGGCGCCCATCTCCCCTCCCCTCCTTCCCATCGCCATCCCCGCTCCATTCTCAGCCAGAAGTAGGAGACCCTGGTGCTTAGGGTGAGATTTACCGTTGAGTTGTAGGTGGGGAAAGCGCTGATTTTTTTAAAATGCCAGTTCAATGTTACACACGTTCTATGTTTTTTTATTTTTTGTGGTGCATTGTGTTATTTATTTATTTGGTTCTTTCTGCACTAGTATGTTAAAGGAAATAGGTTAATAAAGGCAAATATTCTGACTGCAGAATATCTGCATCCATAGGTGAGGTTGTGATATTTTGGTGTCAAGTTTTTGCATATAATTTTTGAGACATATATTTATTTAAGAGTATTATGCATGTCCAAAATGTACAAGCATATATGTATGTCTATATGTATATGTAGTCTTTCATAGTATCTGTTTCATCTTAGTTTCGAAGGATGTTTGACAGCCCATCTATTGTCTGTGCTGAGGACAAAATGTCCTTTCCATGTTGTTGTGTGATATGTATTTAAATAGATTGACTTGGAGATGGATGAATGGATGAACAGATAAAAGGAAAGATTGAAGGATAGGGAGAGGAATATTTTTAAAACTGTCATTTTGAGAAAAAATAATTTCCTTTTGGCTTATACCGGCAGATTTTTTTTTCTTGTTATAAATCCAGTCATCAATATTGTTCTTATAAAATGTTTTTTAGATTTGAGTATTTAATAACTACTGAGTACTTTCACCCTCCCACCACCTGCTTCACTTCTCTCCAAAACCCATTTGTAGCACACAGGTTGAGGGGAGTGAACAGGTTTATTGCCTTCTTGATGGGATAACCATATCAATGTTAATTTCTTGAAAGGTCTCTTTATAGCTTCATGATGATGGCTCTTTGCAGGTCCCCAGTGTTATTCCTTCTGGTTGATAGCTTGCAGTTTATGGTTTCTTACCTATGAATCATCTTCCTAAAGACATCCCTTCCCCATCTAGTTTGATTTATAGAATAGTCTCAAATAATTGACTTAATGCTGCTGTTTTTTGCCATTTTGAGAATCTCTTACCTTTTTTTAAAATCAGAAAAATGGTCAAGTAAATGTATGAACCATGTACTAGTAACTGTTGAAGTTGCAAAGACTGTAAAAGATATTACAAGATAATTTCTCTTCCAGACGCTGAACCCAAAATGGAATGAAGAATTTTATTTTAGAGTAAGTTTTTCATTTTTTGTAACAATTGTTATTGATAACTAGATTGATATATTATCCAAATAGATTCATATTGAATGAAAGCTGTTAAATTTTTATTGTGGAATTCCTTTCAATTTGAGAAATGGTTGGGTAGCCTCCTAATGTGTCCTAAAATTTCAGAGATTGTGATGTGTGGTAACAAAATCTGACTTGTTTTCTTTGGAAATGTTTTAGGGGGAAAAAAATAAAAGGTATCCACATACCATATTTTAACTTTTCTAATCAAAATTTTCTTTAAAAAAGTAAGGTAAAATGTCATTAAAACAGTAGCTTAATTAACTCTATGAGATATGGATTATGAATTAATTATTTTAGCGATAGGATAAAACAATTGAGGCAATGTGATTAAAAATAAGCCTAGCCCGGCTGGGCGTGGCTCAGCGGTTGAGTGTTAACCTAGGATCCAGGCGATCGGGGTTCGATTCCCTGTCAGGGCACATGCCCGAGTTGCAGGCTGCAGCCGATCAGTGACTCTCTCATCATTGATGTTTCTGTCTCTCTCCCTCTCCTTTCTTCTCTCTGAAATCAATAAAGATATATTTTTTTAAAAAAATAAGCCTAAATATTACCAATCATGTTCCAGTTAGGAAGGGAATTTTTTGTAATTCAAATATTTAGTGTGTGTGTGTGTGTGTGTGAAACTACTTCTAGAGTTTAATTATCACTGAATTAGGTGAAATTTCCTCAACCTTTTGTATTTAATACCTAGAAGAGCTATATGTAGAAATGACTGAATTCTGTGAATTAACAGGGATTACTGTTTGTGATAGTTGCTGGGGTTTTTTGTACTGAAATTTTGAAAATATTAAACTGCTCAGCTATTTAATGGGAAAAAAGGTGTTGGGTTTTTTTCTCTTCAAAATGAGTATATTTTCATTGTCTGTGATATTAAAAACTACTTTACCTTCAGAAATGTTCCAGACAAGATATTTTGATTAGTCCCAAAGAACNGTAGAGTCCCAAAGAACAATATTACCACAGTATTATCATTAGACCATTGTAATTGGTTCTGATTTCTTCTTTCAATCACAATAGTATTTTATATGCTCCAAACTCAGATCACTAGATACATGTTTTCTATTATGTTCAGAGCTGAAATATGGCATTGATATTTTAATACTTGGTGAGGTCCAATGTGTAGCCTTGACCAGATGTATTTAAAATCACTTCGTGAAGGACTGAAAAGCTAGTGGGGGCAGATTGATGTTATTGGCCATTAGTAACTCTCAAATAGAGCTTTCCACTCATAAAACTCCAAATTACTTACACCCTTCCAGTTTAACACCTTGCCCGTTTATGTAAATGTTAGTACATCCAACAATTTTTTCAACGAATCTTGGCTATGCACACATGTAAACTCTATTTTTCTTGGCTTTTTACAAAAAGGCCTTTGTTTTATTCATCCAACAAATCATTATAGAATGTCTACTGTGTGCCGGCTCCTGCCATGGCCATTGGTCAGCAGCTCATCCCTTCACAGAGCTTAGTCACTAAACCCTGTGCCCGTCTCCTTGCTCCATCACTAGGCCTTTGAGGGCAGGCCAGGGCCCAAGCACAAGTCCTGCTCTCTGCTCTGTATGTCAGACGTTATTTCATTCTGTTCTCCATCACGAAGCAGCCGAGACTTACTGACAGTGGACCTAGAGCTCTACAACACGCAGCCTCTGTGACCCAGGAAAAGCCACCCGAGGACTCAACATTCTCTGCAGGTTCCTTATCACTCACATAGGAGAGAGAAGTCCTCGCTGGATAGGGCTGTTTCCACAATTTATATGTGAAAATATAAACGAGAGCACCTACCACCATGTCTCACACGTGGTTGGTACTCAGGAAATGATACTTGATTCTGAGTGATGATTCCTGCCATTTGGGGGAGGTTTTGGTAAAGAGACAGAAAGAAGCAAAATGACATTGAAAGCCCACTAGCTCTGACATTGACCCCACGGTTGCTGGAAGGGGAAGACATCTTTTCTCTCTTTGTCTCTCTAATGATTCAAAGCATGGACTCTGAGATAAGCACGCCGACCTGGTTGGGGGTCTGCTTGCCTGCATACTAGCTGTGGGCTCTTAGGCAAGCCACTCCACCCGTGGTCTCAGCTCCTCATTTGTAAGATTGGGGTGACACAGGTCTGTGGTCAGGATTAAAGAATATCATGTGTTTTTGATATTTAATGAGAAGGTACTGCCTGAAAAATAAGCAAAATGTAGTAAATGGCTGCTTTTACTATTTTTAAATTATTTTAATTATTGATATTATAATAGTAGTAGTAGTAGTAGGCCTAAGAGCTGTCATCAGGCATGGACCTTGTGAAGATGTAGCCTTGGTCTAGAGCAGCGATTTTCAACCATGTGTCGCAAGAATTTTTAAAACATGCAATACCAATTTAGTCAGGGGCACTGACCTCTTTTCCCTTCGATTGTCAGATAAAATGACAACAGCCAATAATACAGTAGCTGTCTGGTGTGAATGAATCCAAATTATACCTATTTTTTTGTCAGATTGGCAAAAAAATGTATATTTTTTGGTGTGCCGCAGAATGTTACTAATTAGTTTATGTGCCATGAGATGAAAAGGGTTGAAAATCGCTGGTCTCGAGGCATGAGCATACCTTTTGTAGAGGAGTTTGCAAAACTCTTTAGAATTATCTTTTCTGATGTTAGAGAAGCAGCTAAAAGCGTTTTCTCTTAATATACCTCAATATGAGGCATAGAACAATATAGAAGTTGATAATAGAAAATTGATTTAGTAGATACAGGATTTCCAGAAGAGGTCAGTTGTTCAGATTACACATTTGATTTGGGTGCATTATAAAGTGTTCTTGTTCTTTCTCTCTTATTTCATCCTGTGAATTAGTCCTGCCCATTTTTGAAATACTGTTTATGTCTCAATAGGTAAACCCATCTAATCACAGACTCCTGTTTGAAGTGTTTGATGAAAACAGATTGGTAAGTGGGTCTCTGTTTTTATTTTTGCTTTATTTTTTAAAAACTTGATTTTTAGAGCAACATCTTTTAAAACTCTGTTTATGTTGTACTTCTGATAGTATATATGCCCACCACCCACCCATGACTTTATCTTTGTTCCATTACTAGCTCACGATTCTAACAAATATTTTTGTATGGCTAGGACAGAAATTTTACTTGTATATGTGCATGTTTTTATCATAGTTACTATTAATAAAAGTCACACTGATGATATATCAAACCATATGCTTATGTTCTGCTGGGATACAGAATGGTAGGCAAATCTGTAAAGAGGCCATGGCTCATGTAAACAAACTTTTCAGCGATTTTAAATATAAGCCAGACTACAGTACTCTCACATATCCAATTGTGAATCTGTGGTGATTCTCCTTGGGGAAATTAAAATCTAATTAACAGTAGACAGCAAAAAGTGAATCTATATTTAGCAGGTAAAATTAAGCTGTATTTTAAAAGTGGTCCTTTCTCAAGGGAAATTAGTAGAAAGTACTTTTAAAGAACCAAAGATATGCCTGAGGCATAAGACTGATACAAACTAACATTTTATATAGATATTGATAGATAGGTATGATACAGATATACCTCTATATGTATGTGTGATAAAACTAAGACTTCGTTTTAGAAATGGAGTTTTAGAAGCAAATTGGGCCTGAAGCATTTTGCCAGTTACCTAACTAGAATGTAAACATCAAGTACCCATGAGTCAAGTGTTCCAACTATGAAAACAAACTTTATGTTATGTGCCATCTTTTAAGGTACTCTAAGAGGAGGCATTATACAGTATAGTCAGTTGTCACTCAGATTTCCTTTCCCTGAAACTTATGTTTGTGTTTTTGGTTAAAATGACTGTTCTTGTGAACCTTTCCTACTGCAGAATTCAGCTGAAATTCCGAGTTTTTAAATAGCTTGAGATTAGTAGAATATTGGATCTGGAGGAGCCTTGTAATACAACTGGCTTAACTCCCTTCCCTGTCCTTGCCTTCGAGAGAGGGGCGGTCTAGAGCCTGTACGTAATTTAGACATGGCAGTCAGTGGCAGTGCCCTGGGTGAAGCTGCTGCTCTCCTAGTTTCAGGCTAGGGGTGGTGAATAGCTAGGCTTTTCACCCTGACTATAGAATTTGGGAGTGTGTGTAATCTCCTGTGCTTGGTATTATTTTCCAAATTAAAAAGCCAACAGAGTCTGGCCTACCATCCTGACAACTTCTCCATTAAAAATATATTTGGGTTCTCGGTGGCTTTGCATTGAGCTCAACCGTTTTTATCTTGGGTGGTAATTAGTTGTGCCGCATAACTAAATCAGTTTTGCTGCGTGTCTGGAGTTATTTTCTTGTTAAATTGAATGGGAGAGTCTGCTGATGGTGCTGTTCTTAGCACCCCCTCTCTCATCCAGCAGAGACTGTGAGTTATTAGGCAGTGCTCCGGAGAGTGACAGTAGTCTCGAGTCACCGATGCAGTCGCAGACTAATCCTTACGCTCTCATTTATTGAGTATAATAACGCTTCCTTAAGGTGAAGGCAGGGTCAAGTTTGAGGGAAAATTGCCTCTTGTCAGATGTGTTTTAATTCATACTTAATTTTTTTCTATTAAGAGAAATTCACTGTAAAAACTTTGTTTCTCATTCCTATCATCCAACACAGTGATTGTTGTTGAGATGACCTTGCCATGGGCCCTGATGTGCTTCCAAATCAAAGAGGGCTTTGAATGCAATGCTCTGAGAAATCCTGTGTGAATACAAACTTTATCTGAAAAACTATTTTATGATATTAATACTTAGCTTTGCCCCAGGCCATCTGCAGTGTTGTTATTGTTCGGTGAACCCTGCTGTTGGTGTTTTTCTCTCTGGCCATTAATCCAGCTAAGACAATACGTGACTAGTGGTACTTGGCAGTTTTAGCATTAAACAAACTAGCTTCCATTTCTCTCGTAGAAATCATTTCTGGCATTTAAAACACATGCCTTTAGAAAACAGGTTTGCATGTATGTAAGCACAGTGTTAATCCCCCATACCCTCGACTCCAGAGCTGTTGACAAAGTCATGCTTCGCGGATTTTAAAATAAACTTTTTTGCCACTCTTTGCAGCTTGGTATTTCCCCTTCCTATTTTTTTTTTTTTTTTTTTTTTTAANNNNTTTTTTTTTTTTTTTTTTTTTAACTCCCTCCTAAATAAACCTCTTTGTTAAATAACCAATGTTTCTGGATCATGGAAAATAGTTTAAAACACACAGAATATATCCAAGTTTACAAATCTGATGACAGTTTTTTGAATGTGGACCTTTAGTTTTCTTTCTTCGCTCCTTTTTGGCCCTTTGCAAAAATAGCAAGATTCCATGCTTGTATCCCAACTGTATTAATATTGCTGACTTCTCACTGGAAAACAGTCAGCTTCAGGCAGCCTTTTTTGTCTGTATGGTATTTAAGTTAACCTACTACAAAAAGCACATGTACACCTTTCTTCAATTTCCCTTCCTTTGCCGGAGGAGGGGAGTGTATTATTTTTTTTCTCTTATCTGGCACATGGGAGAAAATGTTTTCTCCAGCTGGGTCCCTTTTCTCTGGTACTTCCCTCTCTGACAACCATACTGTGTGCGAGTTCAAATACACACCTTCTAAATGAAAAGGGTGGTAGAGTAGCAGGAGGCGGGCCCCTCACTGGCAATGTGAAAAGTTGTGCCCCTGGCCCGTAGCTATTTTGTGACTTGTAGATCAGGGTCTAATTATTTAGCATTAAAGGGACACTAATTCAGTGGGGGTGTGTAACTGTATTTATAGTACGTTTTATGAGTTTGCATTCCATCGGGGTAGTGTGGTGATATCATAAATAACAGGACCGTAACCTCCGAGGCTTGTGAAAGGGTTTTCCTAGAGCCAAGGCATTTTTGCTTGTCGTCATTGGGGCCTGCGGGGAGGTGGGGAAATACCGTGTGCGCTGGTGTGCGCGCTCAGTGCCAGGTCTGGCCGCGGTGAGAGCGCCCGGGGCCCCGCTCCCTCGGAAAGAACTGCCCTGTGAGTGCGATGCGGGCAGATTTATAGCGGCATGGCTCGGGGTGTGCTTGCTGCCCTGGTCAGCTGTGAGAGCTCCCTGCTGGGGCCACTCCTGTCTGGTGGAAAAAAGCAGCAGCTGGGAAGGTGCTGTTTCAGGCTCTTGCTGTTTAAAAAAAAAAAAAAATGAGAG